TTACAATTTGGTATTCGTTCTTTTTTTGCGGATATTCAAGATGACAAGGCCGTGTACAGCGAGTCTGAGATAACTATTAGAAAGTATCATTTCACTGTCACTGAGATAGTCCAGTGGTTGTGTCGATGGACTGCCAATCCAGATACTGGGGTTCAAATCCCACCTCGGACACTTTTTCACTCTCAAAACGGCAATTTATGTGTAGTGAGCAATTGTCACCTGTAGAGGGCAGTATTGTGTTGGGCACCAGTGGAGAGAAGAGAGAAAAGACAGTCCTGTGGCATAGATCCATGGTTTTCAATGCATGGGCGTTACCCGCTGTGACGTCACACACAGGTTAGAGAATAGACAGCTTAAATTCATGAAAAACACGTTCTTTTTATAAAATATAGGATTTTTTTTGCCGGAATCTCTTTCAAATTGACATTGTCATGCAATTTTGATATCCACTATTTTTTTTTTAAAAACTCGTCATAAGGTCTTTAAATGTACTCTATAAAAAAAGATATGATTGAAATGTGAATCGGGCCGATACTGACCCCGGGGCCGATACTGACCCCGGGGCCGATACTGACCCGGGGCCGATACTGACCCCGGGCCGTGCTTTGGCCTGGTCAGGATTGGGGCCTTACAGGTTTTACAGGTGTGCTTGATAGTCCAGTCCAGTCCAGTCCAGTCCAGTGTGTGTTACCTGCGCATACAGTCCAGGGCCTGGGTGAAGACCTGAGGGGCCATGCCGTGCTCCTGCTGCAGGATCAGACACTGCTCCAGCGTCACCGACATGGCCGTGCGGTCTTTGGCGCTTTTGCAGCTGGTGAAGCGCACGCCGTTGAGCCTCCGACAGACCTGAGGACGCACACGCGGACACACACACGGACACACACACACGGACACACACACGATTTTTATAGTCATTGTTACTCTCTCTGGTCCCTCTCTCTGGTCTCTCTCTCTTGTCTCTCTCTCTGGTCTCTCTCTCTTTGGTCTCGGTCTCTCTCTGTGGTCTCTCTCTGGTCTCTCTCTCTGGGGTCTCTCTCTGGTCTCTCTTTCTGGTCTCTCTCTCTGGTCTCTCTCTGGTCTCTCTCTGGTCTCTCTCTGGTCTCTCTCTGGTCTCTCTCTCTGGTCTCTCTCTCTGGTCTCTCTCTCTGGTCTCTCTCTCTGGTCTCTCTCTGGTCTCTCTCTGGTCTCTCTCTGGTCTCTCTCTGGTCTCTCTCTGGTCTCTGGTGTCTTTCTGGTGTCTTTCTGGTCTTTCTCTCTGGTCTTTCTCTCTGGTCTCTCTCTCTGGTCTCGGTCTCTCTGGTCTCGGTCTCTCTGGTCTCGGTCTCTCTCTCTGGTCTCTCTCTCTGGTCTCTCTCTCTCTGGTCTCTCTCTCTCTGGTCTCTCTCTCTCTGGTCTCTCTCTCTCTGGTCTCTCTCTCTCTGGTCTCTCTCTCTCTGGTCTCTCTCTCTCTGGTCTCTCTCTCTCTGGTCTCTCTCTCTCTCGTCTCTCTCTCTCGTCTCTCTCTCTCGTCTCTCTCTCTCGTCTCTCTCTCTCGTCTCTCTCTCTCTCGTCTCTCTCTCTCGTCTCTCTCTCTCGTCTCTCTCTCGTCTCTCTCTCGTCTCTCTCTCGTCTCTCTCTCTCTCTCTCTGGTCTCGGTCTCTCTCTCTGGTCTCTCTCTCTCTGGTCTCGGTCTCTCTCTCTCTGATCTCTCTCTCTGGTCTCTCTCTCTCTGGTCTCTCTCTCTCTGGTATCTCTCTCTCTGGTCTCTCTCTCTCTGGTCTCTCTCTCTCTGGTCTCTCTCTCTCTGGTCTCTCTCTCTCTGGTCTCTCTCTCTCTCGTCTCTCTCTCTCGTCTCTCTCTCTCGTCTCTCTCTCTCGTCTCTCTCTCTCGTCTCTCTCTCTCGTCTCTCTCTCTCGTCTCTCTCTCTCTCTCGTCTCTCTCTCGTCTCTCTCTCGTCTCTCTCTCGTCTCTCTCTCTCTCTCTCTGGTCTCGGTCTCTCTCTCTGGTCTCTCTCTCTCTGGTCTCGGTCTCTCTCTCTCTGATCTCTCTCTCTGGTCTCTCTCTCTCTGGTATCTCTCTCTCTGGTCTCTCTCTCTGGTCCCTCTCTCTGGTCCCTCTCTCTGGTCCCTCTCTCTGGTCCCTCTCTCTGGTCCCTCTCTCTGGTCCCTCTCTCTGGTCTTTCTCTCTGGTCTCTCTCTCTGGTCTCTCTCTCTGGTCTCTCTCTCTGGTCTCTCTCTCTGGTCTCTCTCTCTGGTCTCTCTCTCTGGTCTCTCTCTCTGGTCTCTCTCTCTGGTCTCTCTCTCTGGTCTCTCTCTCTGGTCTCTCTCTTTACCTCAGCGGCCTGCCACAGAATGTCCACGTTCTTGTTCTTTCTGGCGTGAACGTTCTGGCCCAGGAAGCGGAGCAGCTCCGGGAGACAGGTCTGAGAGTGGGTCCGAGGCAGGCCTGAGCAGAGGGGAGGGGCAAAGGGGAGTGGCAGAGGGGAGGGGCAGAGGGGAGGGGCAAAGGGGAGGGGCAGAGGGGACGGGCAGAGGGGAGGGGTAATGGAGATTAAAATAAGATTAACACAGTGGGTAAATGTTGCTCACACAGTAAGATATTCATATTTAACTAATTACTTTACGTCCAAGCTACATTTCTGATCTTTTAATCTCCTACAGCCAAATCTGGTCTCTCTCTCTCTCTGGTCTCTCTCTCTGTGGTCTCTCTCTCTCTCTGGCCTCTCTCTGATCTCTCTCTCTCTGGTCTCTCTCTCTCTGGTCTCTCTCTCTCTGGTCTCTCTCTCTCTGATCTCTCTCTCTCTGATCTCTCTCTCTCTGGTCTCTCTCTCTCTGGTCTCTCTCTCTCTCTGGTCTCTCTCTCTCTGGTCTCTCCCTCTCTGGTCTCTCCCTCTCTGGTCTCTCCCTCTCTGGTCTCTCCCTCTCTGGTCTCTCCCTCTCTGGTCTCTCTCTCTCTGGTCTCTCTCTCTCTGGTCTCTCTCTCTGGCCTCTCTCTGGCCTCTCTCTGATCTCTCTCTCTCTGGTCTCTCCCTCTCTGGTCTCTCCCTCTCTGGTCTCCCTCTCTGGTCTCTCTCTCTGGCCTCTCTCTCTCTGGTCTCTCTCTCTCTGGTCTCTCTCTCTCTGGTCTCTCTCTCTCTGGTCTCTCTCTCTCTGGTCTCTCTCTCTCTGGTCTCTCTCTCTCTGGTCTCTCTCTCTCTGGTCTCTCTCTCTCTGGTCTCTCTCTCTCTGGTCTCTCTCTCTCTGGTCTCTCTCTCTCTGGTCTCTCCCTCTCTGGTCTCTCCCTCTCTGGTCTCTCCCTCTCTGGTCTCTCCCTCTCTGGTCTCTCCCTCTCTGGTCTCTCCCTCTCTGGTCTCTCCCTCTCTGGTCTCTCCCTCTCTGGTCTCTCCCTCTCTGGTCTCTCCCTCTCTGGTCTCTCTCTCTCTGGTCTCTCCCTCTCTGGTCTCTCTCTCTCTGGTCTCTCTCTGGTCTCTCTCTGGTCTCTCTCTCTCTGGTCTCTCCCTCTCTGGTCTCTCTCTCTCTGGTCTCTCTCTCTCTGGTCTCTCTCTCTGGTCTCTCTCTCTGGTCTCTCTCTCTGGTCTCTCTCTCTGGTCTCCCTCTCTGGTCTCCCTCTCTGGTCTCCCTCTCTGGTCTCCCTCTCTGGTCTCCCTCTCTGGTCTCCCTCTCTGGTCTCCCTCTCTGGTCTCCCTCTCTGGTCTCCCTCTCTGGTCTCTCCCTCTCTGGTCTCTCCCTCTCTGGTCTCTCTCTCTCTGGTCTCTCTCTCTCTGGTCTCTCTCTCTCTCTGGTCTCTCTCTCTCTGGTCTCTCTCTCTCTGGTCTCTCTCTCTCTGGTCTCTCTCTCTCTGGTCTCTCCCTCTCTGGTCTCTCCCTCTCTGGTCTCTCTCTCTCTGGTCTCTCTCTCTCTGGTCTCTCTCTCTCTGGTCTCTCTCTCTCTGGTCTCTCTCTCTGGTCTCTCTCTCTCTGGTCTCTCTCTCTCTGGTCTCTCTCTCTCTGGTCTCTCTCTCTCTGGTCTCTCTCTCTCTGGTCTCTCTCTCTCTGGTCTCTCTCTCTGGTCTCTCTCTCTGGTCTCTCTCTCTGGTCTCTCTCTGATCTCTCCCTCTCTGGTCTCTCTCTGGTCTCTCCCTCTCTGGTCTCTCTCTCTGGTCTCTCTCTCTCTGGTCTCTCTCTCTCTCTGGTCTCTCTCTCTCTGGTCTCTCTCTCTCTGGTCTCTCTCTCTCTGGTCTCTCTCTCTCTCTCTGGTCTCTCTCTCTCTGGTCTCTCTCTGGTCTCTCTCTCTCTCTGGTCTCTCTCTCTCTGGTCTCTCTCTCTGTGACTCACAGTCCTCCGGCAGCACCTCCTTGAACTGTTGATAGTAGGAGTCGAGTCGAGCCAAACTCTCCACGTTGATGACCTCCTGCAGAGACGTGTCCCCGAACCTGCAACAGCACCACCATGAGGCCTCCTGCTGCACCTCCCTCTCCTCCCTCATCGCCCTGTCCTCCCTCATCGCCCTCTCCTCCCTCATCGCCCTCTCCTCCCTCACCTCCGTCATCGCCCTCTCCTCGCTCATCGCCCTCTCCTCCGTCATCGCCCTCTCCTCCCTCTCCTCCCTCATCGCCCTCTCCTCCCTCATCGCCCTCTCCTCCCTCTCCTCCCTCATCGCCCTCTCCTCCCCCTCCTCCCTCATCGCCCTCTCCTCCCTCATCGCCCTCACCTCCCTGTCCTTCCTCATTGCCCTCTCCCCCCTCATCGCCCTCTCCTCCCTCATCGCCCTCTCCTCCCTCATCGCCTCTCCTCCCTCACCTCCCTCATCGCCCTCTCCTCCCTCATCGCCCTCTCCTCCCTGTCCTCCCTCATCGCCCTCTCCTCCCTGGTCGCCCACTCCTCCCTGTCCTCCCTTATCGCCCACTCCAACCTCTCCTCCTTCATTGCCCTCTCCTCCCTCATCGCCCTCTCCTCCCTGTCCTCCCTCATCACCCTCTCCTCTCTCATCGCCCTCTCCTTCCTCATCGCCCTCTCCCTCCTCATCGCCCTCATCCTCCCTCTCCTCCCTCATCGCCCTCTCCTCCCTCGCCTCCCTCATCGCCCTCTCCTCCCTCATCGCCCTGTCCTCCTTCATTGCCCTGTCCTCCCTCATCGCCCTCTCCTCCCTCATCGCCCACTCCTCCCTCCCTCCCTCATCGCCCTCTCTCCCTCCTCCCTCCTCCTCCTTCATCGCCCTCTCCTCCCTCATCGCCCTCTCCTCCCTCATCGCTCCCTCCCTCCTCTCCTCCTATCGCCCTCTCCTCCCTCATCGCCCTCTCCTCCCCATGCTCCTCCCTCATCGCCCTCATCCTCCCTCTCCTCCCTCATCGCCCTCTCCTCCCTGTCCTCCCTCATCGCCCTCTCCTCCCTCATCGCCCTGTCCTCCTTCATCGACCTGTCCTCCCTCATCGCCCTCTCCTCCCTCATCGCCCTCTCCTCCCTCATCGCCCTCTCCTCCCTCATCGCCCTCTCCTCCCTCGCCTCCCTCATCGCCCTCTCCTCCCTCATCGCCCTCTCCTCCCTCATCGCCCTGTACTCCTTTATTGCCCTGTCCTCCCTCATCGCCCTCTCCTCCCTCATCGCCCTCTCCTCCCTCATCGCCCTGTACTCCTTCATTGCCCTGTCCTCCCTCATTGCCCTCTCCTCCCTCATCGCCCTCTCCTCCCTGTCCTCCCTGTCCTCCCTCATCGCCCTCTCCTCCCTGCCCTCCCTCATCGCCCTCTCCTCTCTCATCGCCCTCTCCTCCCTGTCCTCCCTCATCGCCCTCTCCTCCCTCATCGCCCTCACCTCCCTCATCGCCCTCTCCTCCCTGCCCTCCCTCATCGCCCTCTCCTCTCTCATCGCCCTTTCCTCCCTCATCGCCCTCTCCTCCCTCTCCTCCTTCATTGCCCTCTCCTCCCTCATCGCCCTCTCCTCCCTGTCCTCCCTCATCGCCCTCTCCTCCCTCATGGCCCTCTCCTCCCTGTCCTCCCTCATCGCCCTCTCCTCCCTTATCGCCCACTCCTCCCTGTCCTCCTTCATTGCCCTCTCCTCCCTCATCGCCCTCTCCTCCCTGTCCTCCCTCATCGCCCTCTCCTCCCTCATCGCCCTCTCCTCCCTCATCGCCCTCTCCTCCCTCATCGCCCTCTCCTCTCTCATCGCCCTCTCCTTCCTCATCGCCCTCTCCTCCCTCATCGCCCTCTCCTCCCTCATCGCCCTCTCCTCCCTCTCCTCCCTCATCGCCCTCTCCTCCCTCATCGCCCTGTCCTCCTTCATTGCCCTGTCCTCCCTCATCGCCCTCTCCTCCCTCTCCTCCCTCATCGCCCACTCCTCCCTCTCCTCCCTCATCGCCCACTCCTCCCTCTCCTCCTTCATTGCCCTCTCCTCCCTCGTCGCCCTCTCCTCCCTCATCGCCCTCTCCTCCCTAATCGCCCTCTCCTCCCTTATCGCCCTCTCCTCCCTCATCGCCCTCTCCTCCCTCATCGCCCTCTCCTCCCTCGCCTCCCTCATTGCCCTCTCCTCCCTCATCGCCCTGTCCTCCTTCATTGCCCTGTCCTCCCTCATCGCCCTCTCCTCCCTCATCGCCCTGTCCTCCTTCATTGCCCTGCCCTCTCCTCCCTCATCGCCCTCTCCTCCCTCATCGCCCTCTCCTCCCTCGCCCTCCCTCATCGCCCTCTCCTCCCTCTCTCGCCCTGTACTCCTTTATTGCCCTGTCCTCCCTCATCGCCCTCTCCTCCCTCATCGCCCTCTCCTCCCTCATCGCCCTCTCCTCCCTCATCGCCCTGTACTCCCTCATCGCCCTGTACTCCTTCATTGCCCTGTCCTCCCTCATCGCCCTCTCCTCCCTCTCCTCCCTCATTGCCCTCTCCTCCCTGTCCTCCCTCATCGCCCTCTCCTCCCTCATCGCCCTCTCCTCCCTCATCGCCCTCTCCCTCCTCCCTGTCCTCCCTCATCGCCCTCTCCTCCCTGTCCTCCCTCATCGCCCACTCCTCCCTCTCCTCCTTCATTGCCCTCTCCTCCCTCATCGCCCTCACCTCCCTCTCCTCCCTCATCGCCCTCTCCTCCCTCATCGCCCTCTCCTCCCTTTCCTCCCTCATCGCCCTCTCCCTGTCCTCCCTCATCGCCCTCTCTCCCTGTCCTCCCTCATCGCCCTCTCCTCCCTCACCTCCCTCATCGCCCTCTCCTCCCGTCATCGTCCTCTCCTCCCTCATCGTCCTCTCCTCCCTCATCGTCCTCTCCTCCCTCATCGCCCTCTCCTCCCTCATCGCCCTCTCCTCCCTGTCCTCCCTCATCGCCCTCTCCTCCCTCATCGCCCTCTCCTCCCTCATCGCCCTCTCCTCCCTGTCCTCCCTCTCCTCCCTCATCGCCCTCTCCTCCCTGTCCTCCCTCATTGCCCTCTCCTCCCTCATCGCCCTCTCCTCCCTGTCCTCCTTCATTGCCCTCTCCTCCCTCATCGCCCTCTCCTCCCTGTCCTCCTTCATTGCCCTCTCCTCCCTCATCGCCCACTCCTCCCTCATCGCCCTCTCCTCCCTCATCACCCTCTCCTCCCTCATCGCCCTCTCCTCCCTGTCCTCCCTCATCGCCCTCTCCTCCCTCATCGCCCTCTCCTCCCTGTCCTCCCTCATCGCCCTCTCCTCCCTCATCGCCCTCTCCTCCCTGTCCTCCCTCATCGCCCTCTCCTCCCTCATCGCCCTCTCCTCCCTGTCCTCCCTCATCGCCCTCTCCTCCCTCATCGCCCTCTCCTCCCTGTCCTCCCTCATCGCCCTCTTCTCCCTCATCGCCCTCTCCTCCCTCATCGCCCTCTCCTCCCTCTCCTCCTTCATTGCCCTCTCCTCCCTCATCGCCCTCTCCTCCCTGTCCTCCCTCATCGCCCTCTCCTCCCTCATCGCCCTCCTCTCCTCCCTCATCACCCTCTCCTCCCTCATCGCCCTCTCCTCCCTGTCCTCCCTCATCGCCCTCTCCTCCCTCATCGCCCTCTCCTCCCTGTCCTCCCTCATCGCCCTCTCCTCCCTCATCGCCCTCTCCTCCCTGTCCTCCCTCATCGCCCTCTCCTCCCTCATCGCCCTCTCCTCCCTGTCCTCCCTCATCGCCCTCTCCTCCCTCATCGCCCTCTCCTCCCTGTCCTCCCTCATCGCCCTCTTCTCCCTCATCGCCCTCTCCTCCCTCATCGCCCTCTCCTCCCTCTCCTCCTTCATTGCCCTCTCCTCCCTCATCGCCCTCTCCTCCCTCTCCTCCTTCATTGCCCTCTCCTCCCTCATCGCCCTCTCCTCCCTGTCCTCCCTCATCGCCCTTTCCTCCTACAACCCCTTCTCCTATCTCCCCTCATCTCCTTCCATACCTCCCCCTTCTCTCTCTTACTGCCTCCCCCCTCTCTCTCCCCCATCCTCTCCCCCCCACCTCTCCCCCTCTCTCCCCCCCACCTCTCCCCCTCTCTCCCCCCCCCCCCTCTCTCCCCCCCTCCTCCCCCCTCACCTCTCTGCCAGTGTCTGCTGTTCGTTGATGCCCACGTTGAAGTGCACGGGTTGGACGCGCAGCAGCATCCCGCTCTGGATCTGCGGCGGCAGAGCGTCGAACATGGCGCCCGGCAGTGGGACGCGCACCGTGAAGCCGTGTCTGCCCCCAGACAGGATGGGCAGCAGGTCAGGGGCCGCACTGCTGGGGGCCTGGGTCACCTGAGCCAGAGGGGTCAGAGAGAGAGAGATTGTGTGTGTGTGTGTGTGTCAGTGGTGTGTCACTGTGTGTGTCACTGGTGTGTGTGTGTGTGTGTGTCACTGGTGTGTGTGTGTGTGTGTGTCACTGTGTGTGTGTGTGTGTGTGTGTCACTGGTGTGTGTGTGTGTGTCACTGGTGTGTGTGTGTGTCACTGGTGTGTGTGTGTGTGTGTGTGTGTGTGTGTGTGTGTGTGTGTGTGTGTGTGTGTGTGTGTGTGTGTGTGTGTGTGTGTGTGTGTGTGTGTGTGTGTGTGTGTGTGTGTGTGTGTGTGTGTGTGTGTGTGTGTGTGTGTGTGTGTGTGTGTGTGTGTGTGTGTGTGTGTGTGTGTGTGTGTGTGTGTGTGTGTGTGTGTGTGTGTGTGTGTGTGTGTGTGTGTGTGTGTGTGTGTGTCTATGTAGAGCACAACCTCCATTTCTACCCTCTCCTGTTTATTGTAAATAGTAACTGTAACTATTTTAAATTTATTCCTTAGAAGTGTTTTTTATTCTTTATGTGTGATTATGCCTCTCTCTGACGCACTGAGCCAAAGACATTTCCAACTCTGTTACTTCCTGTTACTTACGTGGCAATAAAAATGATTCTGATTCTACCCTACCCTACTCTACTCTACCCTACTCTACCCAACCCTACCCTACCCTGATAGGGAGTGTTTCCTCTGGTCCTGTGCAACCAGTCCCAGGTCCTTCTTTAGTCCTTCTTTAGTCCCTCTTGGTCCTGGTTCTATCCAGGCCGAGCCTAGTTTTCTAACTGACAGTGATTGCTAGGATACAGTATCAGATGGTAAGGTATTATGGAAACACAACCAGTTAGAGTCGAGTAGAGTAGGAATGGCAGAATTGGGCCTATACACTGTACATAAATGGACAATGCTAACCCGCTAGCGCAGAGAAGCCTACTCTCTCATGGACATGTCAAAGTTACTCCTGGACGTACCTTAAAGGTGACGTTGCGCAGGTCCATCACGCCCACGCTCATGTCCTCCAGCATGGCCAGCTCGTCTCCTGGGGTTGGGCACAGACAGCCAGAAATAAAAAATAAAGTTAGCATCGCTGGGTGTGTAGCTATTTTGAGTAGCGCTGTAATGGACGACAGGAGTCCACTGATTGGTCGACTAAGAGCTCAGTACACTTTTACAGGTGGAACATGGAAAAATAGAATATTGAAAAGAGAATTTGTTTCTGTATTTCAACCAAAAATGTGAAACCAACACATGATACAGACTCACTACAAAGTGACGTGTGTGTCAAAGTGTTGCCAATGACCTGTGATGCAACACTGAAATTTCCCCACCGTGGGAGGCATAGAGGATCAATGTTAATCTTACCGTAGGTGCTGAGCAGGGACTCGAAGTGGGCCAGCAGACCGATGGTGTGGAGCTGCCGGAGGAAGCCGTCGTCACGGAGACAGTTCCTCAGTTTGATGACGAAGCCGGAGATGAGTGCGGTTAGCTGAAAAAACACACACGTTAGACCGGTGTGGGCGGTGGGGGTGTACCCGGAAACAGAATTATCCAAATAATTTTTATGGCAGCTTTTTTCCTCTCGAAAACATCTTTACAAGATGGTCCAAAAGTGGCTCTTGGTCCAAAAGTGGCTCATGGTCTAAAAGTGGCTCTTGGTCCTAAAGTGGTTCTTGGTCCTAAAGTGGCTCTTGGTCCTAAAGTGGCTCTTGGTCCAAAAGTGGCTCATGGTCTAAAAGTGGCTCTTGGTCCTAAAGTGGTTCTTGGTCCAAAAGTGGCTCATGGTCTAAAAGTGGCTCTTGGTCCTAAAGTGGTTCTTGGTCCTAAAGTGGCTCTTGGTCCAAAAGTGGCTCTTGGTCCTAAAGTGGCTCTTGGTCCTAAAGTGGCTCTTGGTCCTAAAGTGGCTCTTGGTCCTAAAGTGGCTCTTGGTCCTAAAGTGGCTCTTGGTCCTAAAGTGGCTCTTGGTCCTAAAGTGGCTCTTGGTCCTAAAGTGGCTCTTGGTCCTAAAGTGGCTCTTGGTCCTAAAGTGGCTCTTGGTCCTAAAGTGGCTCTTGGTCCTAAAGTGGCTCTTGGTCCTAAAGTGGCTCTTGGTCCTAAAGTGGTCTTGGTCCTAAAGTGGTCTTGGTCCTAAAGTGGCTCTTGGTCCTAAAGTGGCTCTTGGTCCTAAAGTGGCTCTTGGTCCTAAAGTGGCTCTTGGTCCTAAAGTGGCTCTTGGTCCTAAAGTGGCTCTTGGTCCTAAGGTCTGGCTAAGTGGCTCTTGGTCCTAAAGTGGCTCTTGGTCCTAAAGTGGCTCTTGGTCCTAAAGTGGCTCTTGGTCCTAAAGTGGCTCTTGGTCCTAAAGTGGCTCTTGGTCCTAAAGTGGCTCTTGGTCCTAAAGTGGCTCTTGGTCCTAAAGTGGCTCTTGGTCCTAAAGTGGCTCTTGGTCTAAAGTGGCTCTTGGTCCTAAAGTGGCTCTTGGTCCTAAAGTGGCTCTTGGTCCTAAAGTGGCTCTTGGTCCTAAAGTGGCTCTTGGTCCTAAAGTGGCTCTTGGTCCTAAAGTGGCTCTTGGTCCTAAAGTGGCTCTTGGTCCTAAAGTGGCTCTTGGTCCTAAAGTGGCTCTTGGTCCTAAAGTGGCTCTTGGTCCTAAAGTGGCTCTTGGTCCTAAAGTGGCTCTTGGTCCTAAAGTGGCTCTTGGTCCTAAAGTGGCTCTTGGTCCTAAAGTGGCTCTTGGTCCTAAAGTGGCTCTTGGTCCTAAAGTGGCTCTTGGTCCTAAAGTGGCTCTTGGTCCTAAAGTGGCTCTTGGTCCTAAAGTGGCTCTTGGTCCTAAAGTGGCTCTTGGTCCTAAAGTGGCTCTTGGTCCTAAAGTGGCTCTTGGTCCTAAAGTGGCTCTTGGTCCTAAAGTGGCTCTTGGTCCTAAAGTGGCTCTTGGTCCTAAAGTGGCTCTTGGTCCTAAAGTGGCTCTTGGTCCTAAAGTGGCTCTTGGTCCTAAAGTGGCTCTTGGTCCTAAAGTGGTTCTTGGTCCTAAAGTGGCTCTTGGTCCTAAAGTGGCTCTTGGTCCTAAAGTGGCTCTTGGTCCTAAAGTGGCTCTTGGTCCTAAAGTGGCTCTTGGTCCTAAAGTGGCTCTTGGTCCTAAAGTGGTTCTTGGTCCTAAAGTGGCTCTTGGTCCTAAAGTGGCTCTTGGTCCTAAAGTGGCTCTTGGTCCTAAAGTGGCTCTTGGTCCAAAAGTGGCTCTTGGTCCTAAAGTGGTTCTTGGTCCTAAAGTGGCTCTTGGTCCAAAAGTGGCTCTTGGTCCTAAAGTGGCTCTTGGTCCTAAAGTGGCTCTTGGTCCTAAAGTGGCTCTTGGTCCTAAAGTGGCTCTTGGTCCTAAAGTGGCTCTTGGTCCTAAAGTGGATCTTGGTCCTAAAGTGGCTCTTGGTCCTAAAGTGGCTCTTGGTCCAAAAGTGGCTCTTGGTCCTAAAGTGGCTCTTGGTCCTAAAGTGGCTCTTGGTCCTAAAGTGGCTCTTGGTCCTAAAGTGGCTCTTGGTCCTAAAGTGGCTCTTGGTCCTAAAGTGGCTCTTGGTCCTAAATTGGCTCTTGGTCCTAAAGTGGCTCTTGGTCCTAAAGTGGCTCTTGGTCCTAAAGTGGCTCTTGGTCCAAAACGAGCCTAGTTTAGCCGCTGTGGACTTTTGAATGCACTCTGGCTTGTGCCGACTAACGCATGCGCACACGTGTTTTCACCATTTTCCGGAGGGAGGGGCTGCTGGCGGCCATTTTGAAAAGCTTTGCCGAAGAGAAAACTGATCACAAATAAGTTTCAATCGCGGAGAGAGAGCAGAGAGAGAGAGAGAGAGAGCAGAGAGAGAGAGCAGAGGAGAGAGAGAGAGAGAGCAGAGAGAGAGAGAGAGAGAGCAGAGAG